CTTCTTCTTCTTCTTCTTCCTCCTCCTCCTCCTCCTCCTCCTCCTCCTCCTCCTCCTCCACTTCCCTCCTCCTTTGCTAGATTAGCAGTTAGAGAAGAGCTTAAGCTCTCTGCCTGGATTAGCCAGGACGAGTCCTCCTACCCAGCAAGGAAGCCACACATGGATCTACATCTCCTCCCTCCGAGTTGGACCAGCCGACAGTCTGGTCAGTTGGAAAACAGCCCAGAGCAGCTGGTCCACTTTGCTGAGGTTTTTTATTTTTTTAACTTGCTTTCTTTTTTTTTTAATAAAGCCCACAGACCACATATCTGGACTTTGAGGCTCCAGCGTGAAGCCATCGATGGGTGCGCAAACAAACTGTAGGGAGAGAGAAGATCTGTGGCGCAAAACAAAAAAACGATCTGGGCTTAAGATAAGATGGGTTTGCTGAGGGCAAATCTTGAGGAGTCCCAGAGCACCAGTTTGCGGACTCTCTCCACTCCAGATTGAGTTGTAATTAATGGCTCTGATGTCATACTTTCCCCCTTGAGCCCCTGAAGCCTTCCTATGGCATTTCCCCCCGGAGAAATCCTGCAGAATCTGCATTCGTGTCGGTAACTGTGGTTGCAACAATGCCGTGTTGGATCTCTCTCTCTGCACATTTACTGCCTTCCACCCTGGGAACATCTGCTTGCATTTCTGGGGAAACTTACCTGAATCATATGAAGATGCATCAGAATAGAGCTGGAAGGGACCCTGGAGGTCTTCTAGTCCAACCCCCTGCTCAAGCAGGAGACCTTATACCATCTCAGACAGGTGGCTGTCCAGTCTCTTCTTAAAAACTTCCAGTGATGGAGCGCCCACGATTTCTGGAGGCCAGCTGTTCCACTGGTTAATTGTCCTCGCTGTTAGGAAGTTTCTCCTTGATTCCAGGTTGCTTCTCTCTTTGATCAGTTTCCATCCGTTGCTTCTCGTCTTGGCTTCTGGTGCTTTGGAGAATAAGTTGACCCCCTCTTCTTTGTGGCAGCCCCTCAAACACTGGAAGATTGCTATCATGTCTCCCCTGTTTCTTCTTTTATTCTTCGAGCTTAGAAGAGATCTAAATCCAGCCTATTTTGAATTCCTTCTACTCTTATCTACTGTCCTATTAACTATCTATTAACTATTCCTGACAGTGAGAACAATTAGCCAGTGGAACAACCTGCCTTATGAAGTTGTGGATGCTCCAACACTGGAAGTTTTTAAGAAGAGATTTGTGTAAAATGGTATATAGGGTTTCCTGCCTGAGCAGGGGGTTGGACTAGATGACCACCAAGGTCCCGTCCAACTCTATTGTTGTTTTTGTTGTTGTTGTTGTTATCTACTGCCCTTTTCCATTGACCGCTTAGTAGTTCAGATTCTTGTAGAGAGCTGAAGCTTGCAATAAATCTTTGTACTCATTTGAACTGCTGGGATCGCCTGATTTCCCCACGCTTGACAATTTGAACCCTAAGATGGGTGTCCCATCTGGGGGGTCTGCTCTCTGCTCTTGGATGAGGTCAAGTACTAATCAAGGGACCTTCTTGGCGTTTGGGGAGCATTGAAGCTGCTTGAGGAAAACACATCTAGGCATAGTTAACCACGACATATTCAGGAGGCATCACCAGGAGTTTGGATAAGGAAGGCCAGG